AGATACTTATTTTCTGTGTTACTGAACTAAAACAGGAAGAGCCCTGGGACCAGAGACTGGAAACCAGAACTCATCTATAATACAGTCCTTAGAGTTCTCTTCTTGTGTCATTAAGCTGCAGTCATTTATGTAAGGGCTTCAAAAGGAAGGTGGACAATTTTGCCACACAGCCTGTGCCAAATCCCAGTGCCTGATAGCATTTGGTGCACTCTCTTGGGAGTCACAGGCTTGAATTCCAGCAAAGGTATGGGATACAGGCCCTTCACCTCCTAAGCCACATGAATTTCTTCACTACAGAAGTTAAGTACTATTTTCAATCAAAACAAAAATGAAGTCAGTGTAATGGCATTTTCCAGGAGCCCTATTCGAATAGCTTGCACAAAGCCTGCTTTGAATCCATTCACTAGATGTTCTCCAGGGATTTACACCTCATTCTACCTTGCTCCTGAATTTCAACATGAGCAAAGCACCTCATCACTCACATCAAGGGAGTTCAGAGAAAGCAAAGAAAAATGCCAGCTCCTAGAGAATTTACAGAATGCAAAAATAAAATGCCTACAAATTTTGGATAAGAGAATTTTTCTTTTAGATGGCTTTTTGGATGTACAAGTTTAAAGCCAGCCTATGTTCTGTTTAGGAGAGACACATCATTACTTTAGTGTGTCGTCTACTTTCTGAAGCCATCTATAATTCTGTGCATTAAACATGTTATTCACTGATTGTCCATTACATATACATAAAAAACCCCCGCAGTTTGGAAGTGTGACTTATGAATCTGGTTTTTGTAACACCTATGAATACTATGATGCAGTACCTGCTAGAAGTGATTATAATTCCATATAGAAAATGAGCATACTTTGCCAAGAAAATAAAATCAAGGATTTACTAAGAGACAAATTTTTTAATAAATATGGAAATTAAATGTCTAGATTATCCTGATGCCATTACTGTGTGACTGACTGCACAGCTGGAATAGAATAGCACCTCTTATAGTACAGAAGGCATGAAGATACTTACATTACCAGCAGTCAAGGCCAGTCTTCGATGTGTGGTAATTTTATATTGTAACAAATATTACATTATTATTATAAGTAATGTTAATAAATTATAAGTGAATAAAAGTTAACCTATTTATCTTGATAATAAATAAATTTAATAAACTATGTACAGTTTATATTGTAAATCATATCGTGCTTGAATGTTGAACTTTAGTCCTGATAATCTGCTCATAATACTTTGTGTAGATCTTAGCCAGAGGATGCTAATTAGTAGCAATGGCATCAGTCAGATTCAGTCAGACTGCATATGTCCTTCCTTGCTGCTTTGTTCAAGCCTTGGTAGTATCTGAATATAGATGTGATGCTACTACACGTTCACCCTGCTAAGCTGACTCTACTGGACTAAGAGAATAAAACATGGTATGACATGAAAGTTTAAAAAAATAAGTGAAATCAAAGCATTCCTTCTTCATGATTTTCTGAACCCATACAAGAAGTGAGCTGGCACTTCCATACATGTGTTGGAAGTGCAGAATGGATGGTCTATGCAAAAGGCGATGAAAAATTGATAAATACTGGAAGGGAGACTGGAAACAAAGTTCTAAATGCATAAGACTTTTCCTTTTTTATGGTTGGAGAGATAAAAATATCTGTAAGAAATCAGTGACAGGATTGTTTTTAAAAACCATTTCAATATTGTAATATTTTTTACTAATAATACTACTGTATTTAATCTTAAGATCAGAAGGAATTACATCTGAGTTTCTCTCTAAAATAGGTTTGTCTCTAGAAATCCAGAACACTAAGGTCAAAACCAAAAATGACCAAGAGCCAAATTCTGAGATATTCACAGGACAACCTAGGAAATAACAGGTCAAATGAATCCTGCTAAGTAGCCTCTCCTGAAGTGTACCAGTTGAACCTTTTCTGGTTTAATTTTTAGCCCTGGGAATAAAGCTTTCCCCAAGGGTAAAATCAGTGTTTAAGCTTTTTACAGCAGTACCTCTGGCGTTCCTGACTCCTCTGGAAATTTACGTATCCCATCTTTATTAAATTAGAAATACATATTGAATTGGTTTCTAAAGTAAAGTTTAACTCTCTCTGAAGATAAGTGAATGATATAAACAGTTGCCTGCAAGGTAGGCATCTCACTTTACTGCTCATAACGCATTAACTGATTTTGTGATTTGAGGGCCAAATTGTGGCCCTCCCCTCATTTGATACCAGGGTAGACATAAGTATCTAATTCAGTGAGGTGATGAGCACCATGTGACGGAGAACCCAGAGCTGCTGATGAATCCTCTCAGAAGCACTGTGGCCTCACAACTTGGAGAAGAAAGCTGTGCATCCCAAACACACCAAGCCAAATTTCAAGAGAAGAGGTAGAGATTTGCTCCATACATTTCTACTGCCACCACTTCCCTTGCACCAAGAGGAAACCACATGCAAAGTTACTTCAGACTGAGCATGAACACTAGAAGTGATACTATGAAAGTGAAACTTTCAACATCAATCACATCTCTAAATCTGGTCTCAGCCTCTGTGCACTGAAAAATAGTATTTCTTCACCTTGTAGCTTAAAAGCTATATATTTTGCCAATAATCATTATTCCAATCACTGCTGAGTTTCTCCCCCTCCAGTTCCAGACAGAAACAGGAAAACAAGGCAGATCCTACCCAATTCACTAAGTATAACACAGGATATTAAAGTTGGGAGAATGTGAGATTTTAAAATGCGCCTGTATGTTTTGTGTCTAAGACACAATACCTGATAACTCTTTCATTTTTTACCAACTCAGATATTTTGCGATGCAGCATGGTTGCTATAAACCAGTCTGACCAGCTGTAAATTAGTAGCTGACCAGAGCTCAGTGGAAATAGCTAAATCCAGCTAACCAGAGTGCAAGACACAGACCCATAGAACAGGCTTTGGGTTGTAAAGGATCTTCAGAGGTCACCTAGTCCAACGCTGGGGTCTCAGGGCAGAGACACAAATACATCTGAACCTTGCCATTTGCAAAAGAGACGCCTCCTCCCCAGCGAGCTGCAAGCTGTGGGAAGAGAAGAGGCACTGAACCTTATTTACATGAATGAGGATTAGCAGTGAGAGAGGCACTGCCTTCAGTAGAGTTTGCACTGAAGGAAATAAAATGTGAAAAACCTATAGACATTTGGGGGTTTTGCTTCCTAACATTTGTCGTCTTCTCCTAGTTCATGAGGTTGTTGCAATATTAAATCTGCTGCTATTGCATGTGCCAGAAAAGGCCTAGACATATCTCTGATGCCATGCAGGGTTCACCACTCATCTTCATGGCTCCTGGGCTCTGACAGCACAAGAACAGCCCAGCTGAACTTGTACTAAATGGAGGCTTTTACTGCAAACATTCCCCTCTATTTCTTTCACTGTCAGGATTAAGCTCCTTCACTCTTCACCGGTAACAAGTGCAGATCTGTTGCCCTGCTAATCCACAGCATTGCCACAAACTCCTGTTCTAATTCAAAAGTCAAAAAAGTATATGCTCGGTGTTGGGGACTGTATACTCATTTCTGAGAAAAGACCGGAATAAAGGGAAGGGGGTTTCCCCTGTGGCATTTGCCACTTCACCACAGGAATCCCTGTCCCTCTGTTTTCAAAAGCATTGCTGATTTCTGAGGTTGCAGTGCTCAGAACTTCCCTGGGGAATGTAAACGCCAGATGATGACAGCTTTAGATAACAAAAACAATGCCTAATAGGCAGACTGGGTGGCCAGCCTCCAGAAAGGAAACACAGACACAGCCTGCAGAACTCCTGCTGCACTTGTACTGCACCTTCAGATTAGGCAGTCAAGAGGAGTAGTTTGCTTATTTGACTCTTTTATTGTCCTGCTCCTGTCTGTGCCTGCTCAGTTATCACTCACTTTTATTTTCTAGACTTTCTTGTCCAAATGGCTCCAGGCAACTTACCGTGCATAAGCTATGGTAATCATGAACGAAGAACATGAGGGTGTATGGTGAACAGCCGATGTATACTTTCCTTTTCAGGGGTCAAAAAGCACATTGCAAACATTCATTTGCTAAATCTCATGCAGAATCTCTCTGAGGAAGATGTCACTTATGTTAAATCAGCAAATTAGCAGTAATATCTCCCTATCAGTTAGGAAGAAGTTTTATTTTTTCCCCACAAACATTTGCAGGTAATGTTTAACTGTGATTTTCATGATTTACATTGTACTTTTCAAAATCTTCTCTCATTTTTCAAAGCACGGAGAGAGCTCCGTCTTTCAGATTTGCATCTGAGAACATTAAAATTCACCACACAGCAGCATGGGAGAAAAAAATCCCACATTTCTTGAGAGTCCATTGCTACAGTTTTCCACATCAGTAACTTCAATGGGGTGCTTTAGACCATTTTCTTCCTATTCTTTGAGACTGAAATAATTTGATTTATCCCCATATAAAAGGCTTTACTACGTAAATAATTAACCATCTTTAGAAATATGCAGTTTTGTATCCTGTTCCTACAGACACTATGCATACAAAATTGTCTTTGGAGTTATTTGAGAACTTAGGATGCACTTACAGGAGGTTTTTCAAAGAAATGGTGGAGTCTCCATCTTTGGAGATATCCAAAAGCCATCTGGACATGGACTTGGTCAACCAGCTCTAAATGGCCCTGCTTGTGCAGGGGAGGTAGACCAGATGATCTCTAAAGGCCACTTCCCATCTCACCTTTATTGTCACCATCATTAATAAGGAGAAATGTATATGAATGCAGGAATACAGGAGCATACATGCACATCAAGGAAACAAACTGTTATTCATATTCAGTGAGGTTAAGGTAAAATTTACTTCCATTATGGATTCAGATCAATACTTACAATTCAAGGAGCCTAGTGACAGAGCATCCAATTAATAGGTTATAAACAAAACTGGTTACACTGATTACTTTGAAGTACAAACCAGCTGTCATAGGATTAAGAATGTGCTGGGGAAAAAAGTACAATTTCTGATTTTCATCCTCACAATGTTATAAAATAGCCCTGATTTTAAGGTGAACGGAGTTTGCCAAAGAAAACAATAGTATTGGTAGGATTGTGTCGAATGAAGAATAAGAAAGGGCGATCAGCCATAAACACCTCTGTGAGAGGCATAGACCTCCTCACAATGCTAGCTCCTGTACCAGCTGCTGCTACGGTGCCTTCCTCATTGACTTCCACATACATCTTATGGACAACGTTTGACAGCACCAGAGATTTTGCAAACGACATTGCAGAGAGGTCAACTTTTGATTCAGTGAAGATATCAGTCATCCCCATCTCTTGTAACACCTCATTGAGGTTAAATGTGTCTTCAAGCTTGAATCGGGGGAGGTAGACCTCCACTATTGTCTCAAACATGTTCTCTACAGAGGTCCACAGCATTAAATTTTCATAGGTCATTGTGCTTTCAATCTAAAAGATGGGGGGAAAAAGAGATTAAAATAGGTGGGCAACTTTAAAAATTTAGATCTTTACCCACTGTTAATTCAGACAACTAACTTTCAGCTCTAGCCCATGATATAAACTGCCTTACCTGCTCCAGCCCACTGATAGATCCATCAGCCACATCACCCGGCAGCAGGATGATCATGCTCAGTGACTTCTGAGCATAAGGGAGTTCAAGGATCTGAGCACCCACCTCCTCAATGTAACCTAGTTTAAATGTGCCTTTCTGATACATCATCTGCACAGGTTTTTTTCTGTTCTATTGAAAAGAAAATATGAAGTCACTTACACAATACAGCCCTTACCAACAACTCTTCCCAACAGGAGAAGCAAGTTAAGTTCCCAAAACACCCTTACCTTAATCACGGGGCAGCTAAGCCTTGGACATTGTGCTTCTGCAGTGATCACACTTTCTAGAGTAAATAGTGTTAAGATTTACAGAATGTAGATGTACCTGATTCAGTTTAAAATCTCTCTGTACTGTTTTTTGTTCCTCAAACTTGTGTTCCCAGGATGCTTTGAAGTAGATGACATTCACCAGCACTAGCAATGCATGTCCATCAATCACACCAGGAGCAAAGAGTTCCTTGATTTTACCTAAAGGGAATTTTGAAATATGTTAAGTATTTATTAGTTGTCATTAAGACTCTGGATTTAGACTCAATAACTGGCCTGTGAACTTAGTTTTGGGAAAACTTAGGAACTTTTGGTTTATTCAAAGGACAGAAAAAATATAAGTAAACAAATGGTGGATTCCTCTGCACTGTTACCAGCCAGGGAGGACAGGGGAACTGGGGGTCACCAAATTAGCCAGCTGTCAGTGCCAGTGACCATACATATGTGCCAGGTGACATTTATCATGGTAAAAGAGACAGCACCATTAAACACATATTTTGGTTTGCATGAGGGCATCTTTCCCTTCCTACCAAGCACAGCACTTACATGGCCATGGAGCTTTTGACTTTCTACACAGAGGCTGAGGTAGGAGTTAGCAGGTCCACAGGCTTCATATGAGCACCCAGAGCAAGGATGGTTCCTAACCCTGTCTGACGTGGCTTCTGAACTTTCAGCTCTCTTACTGGGAGCCAACTGTTAACAGGTCTTTCCCACACCAATCACAGGCCACTCTGCCAGTACAAGGACAAGCTTGGTCAGGAGATGGGCAACTGAGAAATTGCAGAAGCCATCAAATCTATTTGCCTGTTCCCGAGGAAGTTCTGGTTTATATTCAGCCAGAAGATTTAGAAAATTTTCATCCCACTGCTCCTGCAGATCTGGCAAAACTAAAGGAAAATGGCAGATATCATGTTTAGTCTAATCAGCAAGAGCCAATGGCCCCTGCTGTCCTGTTATGGGCAACAGTTGGTTAAATGATGTCACCTGTGATGGTGAGTCTTGCCGGTGGTCACATCTCTCATCTTTGTGGGCATTGCTTTACATATAACCAGGTCCCCAGATGGACTCTCTCCCCACCACCACTCTTCCTGGCTGCTCCTAGTCTCACCATGAATCTCATGGCTTCCATCCCCTGCTGTATCTGCATTTGTGGCTGTTTGCAGAAGCAGTTGGCCTGGTAAAGCCTTATAGGTATTACTGTAATTACCATGCCAGCCATAAGGGTGGAAATACAAAAGTATTTGACAACAAACACATTTTTAATTCAGAAATAATTTATCTGGTAACTTACTCTAATATTTCAAGAGTGGATGGGAAGACAGACTATATTCAAACAGCATGAGAGTGAACACCCAGACATGTAGACAGGCCTTTGCTTTTCATGTTCTGGAATTCATTTGTTGAAGCAGTGTAAGAAAGCAGCAAGAGTATGACAATGGTTTTGCTTTGTTTTACCTTGTGTCTCACTCTCAACCCAAGCATTAATTTTTCTTCTGGCAGCTTCAACAGCACCATGAAAGTCCACTGTTTGCAGCATTGCTCCATACAGTTCCTTGGTACACATTAGAAATTGCTGTAAAGCAAAATAAAGATTATTACTTGATCAGGTCTATTAAGCACTTATTCCCTTTGGAAACAAATCAATGGTTCAACAGTGTTTTAGAAATGGTGAGGAACCTGTTGGCTCCATAAGGCAAAGTTTCATTTTGGAAACATCAACTATCTGAAGTTTATTCAGAGAATCTTTGAAAACGAGATAATTATTCTATTGTATAGGCAAAAAAGGTAAATAAGTAACAAGAAAGTCAGAAGAAAGAGTCCTCTTGTGGAGAACTGCACAACTGATGTCCGGGTAAAAAAACAATAAAGAGAGGAAATGTGAAATATGTTTTTTGATGCTCAAGTATCCAAATAACTCAATAGAAATAACTGACAGAAAAGTTAAGATGTGACTAGCAATATAGCCTTACCAAGTAATCTCAAGACCACTCTTCATTCAGTAAGAAAGGAGCAAGAAATTCAGGACAGCAGCTCTGTGTATGAACCTGTTCAACATCCCAGGTGATAAGTCCTCTCCAAACTTACTGCTGCCCCAGAATTAGGTAGTTTACAGACAGTTTGAATAGGACATTTTTTGGCTGTCAGTTCACCTCTGGCTGAGTGTAGGCATATGCCAAAAGTGAACAGCCCTCTGCTTTGTTTTTGTTCTGTAGCCATTGATATCCACAAGGTGGTTTGTTTTATTTTAAATAAAATAACTGAAAGTTGACAATCTTGTCTCTTTCCCACAAGCCCCAAGAGATATAGTTCCAAGAAGCACACTGAGTGCTCCAAAGCATAAACGAGAGGGGCAACAGTAAGACTCGGTTACAGGGAAGCTTGAGGTCAGGGCCACAGCAATTAGCAGATACAGGTAACTTACCTGCTGGATTTCAAATCCTTGTTGTATAAAGAGATTGTTGGCCAGGGTTAAAACATATCTTTCGCCAAGGTTTTGTAGTTGCAAAAGCAATGTCTGGAACACTTTATGGTTAAGGTCTCCATCCTTGTTACACTGGGATTATTACAAACACAACAATTAAAATTATTCCTCTGTATAGCTTTGTTTTTTAATTTGCATCTTAATTAGATTATGCTGTAAGGCTAACTCCTGCTGAAGTCATTTTTAGATCCAGCTACTCCAAGCTTTGTAGCCTGATCCTCTTTCAGATGAGATCACTGAAGGCTTTGGTATTGACTTATTGAAAAGTTTGGCCCTTAATAAAATAACACCTTGTATCAGGCATTTCCTAGAGGATTAGGCAGACTCTGAGCCTGTGATCTTGACTCCCTCCAGTGGCAAAGTAGTGCTTTACCCCTACTAACCTACCTCACAGTGAAGACGGTGTTCCAGCGTTCCCCACCCAAGGACACACCTGTGAGAAGGAAGGCTGTCTCTCCCAGCTTTCTTTTGGCTCCATTTCTGGGGCTGCATTCTCTTGATCATATTCAAGGCTCATTCCTCCTGCAGAATTCCTGACATGGAGCACCTGCAGTTGAAGATGCCAAGTTATGGCAACTGTGACTGGGATAAAAGCATTTTCCTTGATTAAAAGCTTTGCTATGCTGCCCTGGATAAATGATGTAGATTTATAAAATATGTTTTCTCAGCTTCATTCATCAGCTGAAATGGCAGACTTGAAATTGTTCATATACTCATGTTCAGACTCACATTTCTATATTAACAAACCCAGAAGAACTTGCACTTAATCCCTCAAAGTGTTACTCTTCCTTACACCAGAATGTTTATATTTGATTTGTGTTTCATTGCTACAGTTACCTTAAATTTCAAAACAAAAAGTTGCCCCAAGCACAGATATAAAAATGGTTTTCTTTGGAAACATCACAACTGGATTCTTGCAAACATTCTCAATACTGGCATCAGCTTAGGAAATATATCAAAACCATAGTGCTCTTAATGGAAACCAGTCCTTGTTTCTAATGTGCAAATATCTCACTGAAAAAATTTCCAGCAGCTTCTCCATTACAATAATGTTGCATCATTCATAGACTTACTCTTTTTATTGAGGATACTGGGTGGGTACCTGGCAGCCACCAGCCAAGGTCAACCCACCACACCCTGGAATCCTTATGAGGACAGCACATCTACCTTGGCTGTGGGTGACCCAGCAGTCAGACTGTGCACGTGGTAGTGTTAGAATATGATGCATTAAAATGTACCAGTACAGAGTCAGCTACTGAGAAGAACTTTTGCCTTAGGATTATTGGGTTTTTACCACTCATGGGCTTAAACAAGAAAAGAGAAGAAAGGTTGTAGAAAGAAGAACTTGTCCTGCAGGGAGTAAAGGCACGGTGATTGAAGGGGTCTCTGTGAGGTGAGACATTTTGACTCCTGAATGTCATAAGTGACAAGTGAGCTAATGCTTCCAGCCACACAGGTGCAACCACTTCAGATTTCTGCAGCTCTCCCCACTGCCCATCCAGACACAACTTGAGGATTCTCATAACAACCACGACAAGAAACTCTGATCTGTAATTTTGAAACCAAGTCTGATATTCTGACAGCAGGCTTGGGGAAAGCCAGAGTGCTCCACTGTGCTGTACCGCCGCCTCCCATTCAGTCCTTGCTCCTTGCTCTTGCATGGGGGCATGATGAGACTCACACTAGCGGATGGCAAGGATCGTAGTGCACCAAGCATGATTGTGAAGGTAGAATCTGTGCCTGCATTTGTGCAGGTTTCCTATGAGACCCTTGCACATGTGTCATGCTAGGATGCCCAACATTTCCATTAAGGGAACAGCAAGAAATGCGGAAGCATCTCAGCATGGTTTGTTAATACTTACTTTTTCTATCTGAGCAGCAGTGTTGTTTCTTGCACCTAGATGGATCAGGGCCAGGGCAACAGAGATGCTTATTGGAGAGAAGACGATATTTGTGTCTTCTGCATTTCTGTTGAGCTTATTGTAGAGATCAAGGCAAAACTCAGTAACTGGTCTAGAAACGGAGTTCATCATGAAGCATCTGCTAACTGGGAGCACAAAAGAATGAAGGAATTTAATGCAGCTTGTCTAGCCAGACGCTGTGAAGCACCTGTCTGCCCTGAGTTTATCCCATAGCTGATTGCTAAATAATAAAAGTTTTCTAAATTCTGAGAGTTTGAAACAGCCAATCTTGCATATATTTGTCAGTCTGTAACGCACAGATATATCAAGGATGCAGAGGGTCTGGAAAAGGGACCCACACTCACAGAGGGTCCTCAGAAAGGACCCTTTTTCTGTCTTATCCCATGCTGTGTCTTATGTCAGCTCATGATATTGAAACCAGTCAGCTATGGATTAACATTTTCCTCCTCCAAACTGGTTTGATGGATATAGTTGCAACAACTCTTCTCTCTTTGAACAAAATTCAGTGACACAGATTTGGTGAAAGAAACTATGCCTACATATAAACATGTGTGGTAACCAGAGCTGTAGTATGCAGGTTTCAAGCAATAGGTTTATAAAAATAAAATCACTATTAGTTGAATGTTTTCATACATCAAAAAGGGTAATTAACAGCTATGGAGACTGAAGTACATATGGAAACATTAACAGTTTGAAATACACTTTTTCACCTCTTGTGAGTTTTCTAGGAGCCACACATTCAGGCAGGATACACAACTAAAAATACCAAACAAAGTAACAGCTCAAGAGCGCTGAAAAAAATGTTGTAAGTTCCTGTTCAATGATATAACAAGATCTGTGTCAATCTCTTCGTTTGTACTAGAAACATTACAGTCTGATACCTTTCCCATGGGTCATTTACTTTCAATTCACTCTGCTAAGAACAAGTTAGGACCAAGTTCAGCTTGGTCCTTGCAAGGAGGAGATCATGAAGAAAAAGTGGGCTATAAACTCCTTTCCTGAATCTTAGGAAAATTGTAAAGTTGTTGTGTGGATACGAGTGGGATCACACAAACTTTTAGGGAATCGTTATACCAAAAAAAACCAAAAACCAACAAAAACCAAGCCACATCACTTTCAGTATCAAACAAATAATATTTTTAACAGCACAAACGAAAAAATGTATGAAAAGCAAAGCATACACTCTTGCCTTCTTGCAGACATAGAGCTAGGTAGCTGTGGTCTGTGTTTCAGAAAGATGATTTATTTAGGGGAAAATATATGGTCACAGTATGGAGAGAAGTCCTTCATGTCTCCCATGGCACAGATCTGGCTGGATCTCCCTTTCAGTCTGCACTGGGACTAGCATGGATCAGGTCCATAGCAAGCTGCCAGAGTTCCTCCCCATTTTAAAAACAAGTGAGTGCACAGCCAAATGGTTATGCCCAGTGCCCACAGAAGGCCATGGCACAGCAAGCAGGCACTCCTTCCTAGCCCTGTCTGCCTGGCTGCTGCAGCCTGCTAGGCAAAGTTACATGAGGAGCTCCGGTTTGTGTCACCAGAGGGTGGGGAAAGGCTTATGAAAAGCTGAACTTCAGGATCTTTTATCAGCAAGGGCCGTATACAGCCTGTCCTGGGCTGTCACTGCCCCTTTGAGAGTGGTCTAGAGCCTTCATGGGAAGTGTTGTCTGATGCTGGGGACCTCCACCCCCTTCCAGTCAATGCTCTCCTGTCACCCTGCTCTCCCACTGAGGCTCCAGTTCTACCACAGCCACAGCTCCCCCACCTCACAGAGACCCTGCCCACAGAGTTTTCTTTTTTCAAAGAGCTACTCAAAATGTCTTGCACTGTTCTTTAGATGCAGAGTGCAGGCTACCTCTTTCTCAGCCATGAGCCAGGTGTGAATTTTGCATGAGAAGCTGGAACTCAGGTGCCAGAAGTTGTTGCCAGGGTGTTGGGTGTTGACATGGCTCAGCCAAGATGCAGCATTTGTCTGTGCAAACCATCTTAGCCCACAGCGAGTGCCAGACAACAGGAATGAACTCAGCCCACAGAAAAACAAACTGAGCCTAAGACAGATTGCTGCAGAGGCTTGGAAGAGCTGAAAAGTCAAGTTTCTGAATACATGAAGGTGTAATGTGTGGCAAATGCAGACATTTCTTGCCATTTGACTAGCTTGAAAAGCACAGCAATAATCAATGCTTCATCCTGTTTCTGAATGAAGTTCTGCGGAAAGAACATGTGATTCTGAAAAAAAGTTCGTATGTTTCATACTGAGACATTTGTTTTACCCTGAAGTCCAGAAGTACTTCACATAGAGACCTAATACAAATGGAGAAAATAGAGGAGAAAGACCCAAAAAATTCTCTACACAGAGAAATCAAAGAGCAGTTTTATCTCATTAATTCTGAAAACAGTAGTTCTAGCTCTGCTATTTGTGTCTTTGTATGAAATATGGTTTTCATTTTCCTTTCAGTAGTGCAGTCATCTTACCACAAGACATTGCACTAAATAATCATTTCTCTTTTCTTCCACCTTCACATCCTACTATTCAGAAACTTCTGAAAAAAATCTCAGTGCATCTTCAGTTCATTTCACAGCTCTGTTTCAGATTTTTCAAGAGGTGTGGAAATAAGTCATGGTGAACGTAGGCCATGAGGCACATTGTAGGTGTGCCCAAACTTCAGAACAAGTTGGGGAGAAAAAAAGAGTTAATAAATTTACTCAGAGGGAAGGAGGCACCTCCACCCCACCCTGCAGGGAAAGGGTTGCATACAAAGAATGGAGGGAGAGGCCAGGATCTGGGAACAGGTTTTAAAAGCGAGTGTCTGGCATACTGAGGTGGCCACTCCTTTTGCAAAAGCAGCAGGCTGTCCTCAGGGAGACATCCAGGTGCAAACACTACAGCCAACTCCATGGTTTTGTGAGTAGGAACTACTTAGAGAGCTGCCCTAGAAACCCAAAGGAAGGAGAGGGAAGTATGAGCTGGTCAAGGAACTTTCTTACTGAAGACTTAAGGGATTTAGTGAACTTTCTTAATCTAAATTGGGGTGGACACAAGTGTGTGAATGATTCCACACCATTAAGTCTTCTGTATAATCTGTGTAATAATTCAGAGTTTTGGAGCTACTGCAAGGACCGTGGCATTTGGAGAACACCTACATGGTGGACAACAAATGGTAATGTTACTTTTAAATAATCTTGGGGTGACAAGAAGGGACAATATTAAGAGCAAAATAAGTGTTCCAGGAAGATCCTAGCTGCTGTTCTGCACTAGCCAAAGCACGTGCATTGAGCATTATCAATAGTGCAGAACCACTGATGAAGGGAGATGCTTTGCACAATAGTTCATCAGCATTTAACACAGTCTAGCAGATAGAAATTACTGGTGCTGCTGTATGTGAGCAACAGCCACCCAGAAAAATAGCTTCCTTCAGAAGAAACCACTGCATACCCAGACCTTGCAAGGACGACAAACTTCTTCCATACCTGTGTGAAATGACAAACACTTCTCTATAACTATGCATGATCTGTCCTCCCTTTATAGTTTTGTTTTTGGCTAAGGGTAAATGAAATCTAAATTAAAATTATCAAAGAATTAAAAAAAAACTGTGCTCAAATCTGTCATAATTATTGGGTGTATTGAGATTATATTATTCAGTCAACAGAAGGAGGTAGTAAATAGGGCAGAGAGGCTGAGAGGTGTAGCCTTGGTTTTAAGGTAATTCTGTATTTCATACAAGGTAAGTAAGAAGGAACCCATTTTCCCTGATGCCACATGGTACTTCCTATTGCATGTTTTACTTATTCAATCTGCTTTCCATTAATGTGTTTTAATACACATTCATCTCTCATACACAAAGGAAGACAGAATAGGCAGAAATTACATGTGTCTATCCTAGAAAAAGATCACATGACGGATAGTGCTGTTTCCTCACACAAAAATTGGTAGAAGTTACTTTCTTATTTTTCATGGCCATTCTTACAAAAAGACAATTCCAAATGTTTCCATGATGATTTGGAGTGAAAGGGACAATGAGCACATAAGAAAAATTAAACTTCCTACAACACAGAAATTCTAATTGTTCCTAAGTGACACAAAACATTTCCAAAGTAACATACTTTAAATTAAAAAGCAATACATTTCAGTAAAAAACAGCTTTTAAAGCAAAATGGTGCCAATTTCATTTTCTAAGCAACCTAGCCTCTCAGGATGCTACTTGTATGCCAGAAAGCCTTTTTACTGACTGCTTTTATTAGTTTGAATCAGTCCCTCCAGTATCTTCTATACCTCATTCTAGGCTAAATATTTCTGCATAAACAGACATGGATGTACATCGGCATGTTGCAGGCTGTACAGTGGCAAATTATTTGCTGTGCCTGTGTGCAGCTGCACAGGCAAGCTTCTAAACGTTGTTGCCAAACCCAGGAGCTAATATTTTGATGGCTGAGACTAGCATCCCCACTAACAAAACAAAATCTGAATACCACTCCACCCTCCCTATTTTACAGAGTCATTGTTCGGGAACATAAACAATTTCCCCGGCAGCGGGGATCAGAGTACAGGGCAAATACCTAAGAACCCAATAAAAGAATTGCATGCCCTCTCTCTCATCTAGTGAATATTTCAAAGCTTTTTCTTTTGCCATGGAAACTTGAGAAAAGAAGTTAAATTAACATATATCTCCTACTCTGTGGGTGAGTTTGCTCAGGTCATCAGCATCGTCATTTTACACGAAGCCCGTTTCTACCAGAATAGGTAGAGGTGCTCTGAAGGAGCCTGCACTTCAGCCCTTCTGGACATACAGGCAGAAAAGCATCTACTTTCTTGTATAAGCCACTGAGCTCATTAATCCTGTACAGATTAGACCATAGTGGATGGACAGAGAGGTTCTGGGGAAATTTCAGATTTGAAAGCCTGTAAAATTTAAGCAAGAATCTTTGGATTGATAGCTTTGGGCATGTGTTCCTAAATTCCTCATTCATATCCCACAGAAGACCAGCTCCTTTGTGTGAGCCACCTGAATTTCAGCAGTGTGTTTTGCTGCCTGAAGCCTGCAAACCCTCTCTGTTCCATCTGTAAACATGATGTTTACTTTACCAGCCTGTAGACTACTTTGGATCTGCCAAAAAAAAATCACATGTTATTTTGGGGGAAAAAAACCAACAAAAACAACATAGAATTTTTACCTTCTTGCCTGAAGAGGTTAAATGAAGAGTACAACAGCTGAGCTCTGGAGCACGTTCCTGTGACTACCGTATTACAAAAATCTCCCACACTCTTGTTCAGTCTCTAACCAATTGCTGCTGATAGCAGCATGTTGCGGTTCAATGTGAATGCCATCAACATGAGGTTTCCTCACAGAAGACTGGTAAACCTGCATCTAGCAATATGCTATTAGCACTTCTCTCAAGGCTGCCCAACAAGTTTAGCAGGCAATATCTGCTGGCAACATCTCCTGATTGCAATGCCAAGTCACCCTCAGCTGGAAAACTGATCATTAACCCTGGAGACCCATGGCTGCACGGCTGTATGTAGTCCCTTTAAAATTTGATGGGGTCTGGCTTGGACACAGGTGTTTGCATGCCAAGATTGTTTGGAACTGAGCTTGCTTGCATAGAGCAAATGAATGGGAAACACATGAGCTTTACGTTGCCTACAGCCATCTCTCTCTCTCAGGTAAGGAATCGGCTTTACGTATATGGAAGGAGCTTAATTAGGGAAGTACTTCCTTGAAGTGTAACAGGAATTCCCAGCCAGGAGGTATTCTTTTAAATCCTTGGAGTTAAGAATAAAAGAAGGCCAGAAGTGGTTGATCACATAGGTTAAGTCTCCAGTATAAGGTGAGAAGGAAGTGAAGAATAGGAAGCATGGAGCTGCATCAGCACAGTGTTTGATCTCCCCTAAGCACCATGACTGAGCTCAAGTGCAACACTGGGTTATAGCAGCTGGTCTCGGAGATTAAAATTGATCTAAGGTTGTATGTGGCTTTGCAATCCTGAAAATTTTATGTCTTTCTTTTCTCACCTCTTCTTTCTTTCTACAAACCATAAAACTGGCTTTGTATTTGTAGGATCTTTGAGGGATCAAACATGGTAAGCAGGAAAGAGAAAGAAGGTCCCCCAGCATTATCTTGGCCTTCCCACAGTTTCCTTCTAGTGCTGAAGCTGGACTCCCCTCTTCCTTAGGCACAGCTCCCGTCAGCTTTGCTGTTCCCTGCTCTTCTGCCAAGGTCTCAGCCCAGTTGGCCAGGCTCCAGTGCTCTCATCCAAAACGAGGATTTGTAAGCAATGCAAGACACAAGGATAAAATGAGTGTTCTTGTTACCTCTATTCTTTTCCTTGCTTTTTTGCTTCCATTTGCCATTAACTTCTCTGTTTCTGTTTTTCCTTCCTTCATGTTTCTGTAGTCCTCCTTAGTCTTCCTTCTCAGGTCTTTCTTTCTCTAGTTTTAAAACTTATTTATTTATACACATTGCCTTTTCATGTATCTTGTGATGCTTTTGTGAGTCCTAGACTCTTTTCAGTGACAGTCTAAGTATTTTTCAGTATCTTACAAGACTTTCTTTCTTCCAACCTCTGTACTTTCTCCCTCCCTCCTACATTGACATTGTTCCTTCACTGACTTATTTTACTTGCTATGCCGTATATTCCCTCAGAACATCCTTGACTGACATCAGTTTAACTGCTTTGCCTTGGGAAATGTCAATGTATGTGCAAATCCTGTCTTTTCTAGGCCCTTAGGATACTACATTAACGAAAGTGTCCTGCTTTTCCAGTAAGGCCAATTGGCCCTGCCTTGCATTTTTCAAGTTTCAAATCCAAACTGCTCTTCCCCACAAATAACTTTTGCTACCACCAAACATTAAAATGTATCCCTTCTCCTCAACCAAATGCTAGGAGCAGGAAGTGGGCAATGACTGTGCAGATGAGCAAATGATGAGATGACTAGGCACATAACACTACAGTTTGCAACTGCCTGCCAAAGCCAGCCATGGCTTGCTTTTTTCCGTCGGGGGCATCATCCATCATTGGATAGTAATGCTCTGTTGAAAGCTGAGGTGGAGCACCTTTTCAGTCTGAGCAAGTCCTCAGCTCTGTTCACTCTCTCCATTGTAACCAACATCTTTCAGCACATAAGTGTTCCTATACACAAACTCCCACACACGTTTTCCCATGTCCTCCCAAGATTTCTTGCCCAAGGCCCACAGGGGTGTTCCAATACGGGTGGAACAAACAATAGACTGTAACATGGTTCTCACACCAGCAGCAGACTCATGGATACTTCTCCATGAGGAGAAGTGCTGCAAGATGGAAAGGCTTCACAATGGGACTGGTAGAGAGAAGAGGCAGAAGTGAAAAATGAAGATTTTCATGGGCAAGGCACCGTGTTTATAAATGGCCAATAAGGGGGTTTGCCTTATGTGGGCTAAGACAGCTTTGTATCTCTAACATCTGCTTGCCTTGCACAGGCTGGGATACCTTGGTATTAGTCAGGAGGTGCAGAAAGATGGGCCCCACCCTAAGGCTGTGTTTCACTCTGCTTTCACAGGATAACCCTTCCTGACAAAGCTATCGCAAGGAAAAGACATGCTTACATAAATTTGTGGGGATATGCCAAATGCTCTGATCAGCATTTAAACAGAATACGACCTCTATTAAATGAAGACTGGCTCCTGAATTGGAATGTTTTGAGAACCTCAAAATGCTTTGGAAGTGATGTCTGAGCTTTTCTGCTTCAGGAAATCTCATCCAGGCAGAAAAAGAGAGATGGGTAATCTGCCAGAGGTTTTCATGAGTCTAGCAGGCCAGCACAGATATAGCAGTAAGCGTGATATGGCCTGCTGAACAACTGGAACTACCTGACGAAGAGTTAGTGCCCAAACACAAACTGCACGGACTAGAGGCAACTAATCCATCTTACCTATGCACAGACTGCCTGTGCAGCTGCTTAGTCATCAACCCCCTGCACAGTGTCCAGACAAACCTCATACAGGAGAACCAGTAGAAACCACAGTGATTAAATAACCCTGGATAAATCTGACCCCAGCCTCCAAAGCAGATCAGACCATGATTGGGTGTATCAATCATTCAGGTATCACTGAAATTGAGCCAGTAAAGATCTTTGCAGGTAATTCCTTCTCAGACAGGATGGGCTGCACAGTAATTTTTATATTTTTCATTCTTCTGACTACGAGCCATGAATCAAGACACCTGATGCATATCAGCAAAGATCCATAGAGGTCTGCAGGATCTCACCTCCCGTTGTTTTTGGTGGAAGTTAGTCTCCTCAGTATCCTCAAAGATATAGACCCCTGTTAACCTCTGGCATTAAAATGCATTAGAGCCCATTAAAAGTCCACAGAGGGAAGGAAACAGGTAAAACTACTGAATCACTGTAACTCAAAAACTACTGAATCATTGTGAAATCTCTCATGGATTGATAAGAATCAAAACAGTCTCTAAATTCTCAATAACCACTGCACTGCTCTCTGATATTGAAAGTACGCATACTAGGGGTTGCCTCTTTCCATTTAGAAATCTCTTTCCAGTTTCAGACCTGAGGCACTAAGAGGATTTCTTAAGTAAAATGCTCCCATCTTTTGAGAATAGATAATTGAATTCTCTGTATATCCTGACCAGCTAGTAACATATTCCTTACTGGAAACTATCATCATGTGGCCCAGAAGGGCAATCCAGACATTCACTTAGGTTTTTTTTTTATTCTGACTTTGTGGCCTAAGGGAATCTGTTCATTGCCATTCCCATTATTTATTGGGAGTTAAGAGTGAACACTGACACTGTCAGTGAACACAAAGACTGACACTGGAGGTATTGCTCATTTGACACAGGTTTTATAGTGCTTTATTCTGAACAGTAATTAGGTAAATCAGTACTGAACATATGCAGCAGGCAGTCTTTAGATAGAAATGAAATCTGATTACCATGATCTCATGAGGAATTTGAAGACTAGTAATTACAATGTTAATTTCACTCAAGTTGAAGTCCTTATTTCTTTCTCATGCTTCAGACGTTAAGTAACTGTAGAGGAGTTTCCTTAATGCTGAATCTAGAAGTGTGGCACTTCCAGTATTAATCCAACTGTGTTCTATCCTTGAATTGCATAATGTTCTTTTTCTTAGGATATATACAACAGGGCTCCTCATAACTGTGCTGAACTTGTCCCATCTTCCATGTCTGAAGGGAATGAATGAAAAAAGGCCACACAGAAGAATCCAACCTCCCCAGTCTGGGAAATGATGTAGCTCATGCTGAAGAGTCTTCTGGGTATACATTCTGCCACCATGATTTTTGCCTCTGGCGCCCATAGGCCTCAGTGTGACTGATGTTTCACAGATGCAAATTCTGATGCCAGCCTGAATAGTTTAGCTATGCTGCAGAACTTGGGCACTGTTTCACTGAGCATTGGTAGGATCTGGTAGGGCACCCTGGACCACCAGAGTGTAGCCAGGTACAAGGGGAGAGCTACCACACCACATGTGCATAGTTCTCCTTAGAGGCAGTAGGAATCCAGAGAGTCTGGGTCACAAGAGAGAGTGGTTTGACTACGGAGCAGGAATGCAGCTCTTCTTCCCAGAGCCCTTTCCAACTCCTGGTCTGCCTTAAATCAGGCTCTCAGTTCACTTCATTTTGGGAAAAAGGTGTCACAGAGGAACAGAATATTCTTGTTGCGAGGCTGGGATACTTCTCAATGAAGTGTTTCTTACAATGGAAATCCTTCGGCTTAAGGGGATGAAACATAAGGAGATAAACTAGTTCTGCTGCATATGTAGAGTACATTGTATTACCCAGCCAATATATGAACCTCTTAGATTTCCTTTCAAAGATGATTGTCAGGATGACAAGCTTTACAGGAGCATGCACCACCATAAATGTAAATGTGCTTTTTCATAATGAATACGCCCTGCTTAGGGAGAACAGAATCGGCCTGTGAGAATCACATTGCGAGTTTTGTTATGTCTAAACAAAAAGATAAATGGATGATCAGCTTTAAATTCATCTTTATGTTGCAGAATCCGATATCCTGGTACCTCTCGGGAGTCGCCACCTTGTTCATTTACTTCCAAGGAGACTTTATGGATGATCTTTGACAAAACCACACCTTTTGTATCACACATCTCAGAGAAATCTGATGCACTTTCATTGAAGATATTTGTCATTCCCAGGCTTTCCAGAAGTGGCTTCAGGTCATAGTCACCTTCTATGCTAAACTTTGGAAGAAATACATTCACTTTGGTGTTGGCCATCATGCTAGGATTGGTCCACTGTAATAATGTCTCAGGAGTCAGTGCCTTTTCCAGCTGAAAATGTAAAGGAACAAAGGAAATTAATGAGCAGCCCAAGGAAAGAGAGTTAAAAAACAACAGACCATTCCTGAACTTCTCTCTCCTATCAAGTCTCCAAAAAATAAAGTCCAAAAGGCACCTTGTGCTTTTCAATTCACAACTGTAGCATTTAGGCTTAACATACTCTCAGTTACATTGGTGCAAGGATGATTTAATCTATAGGACTGGCCTCTAGAAGAAATCTACTGTATGTGCATGCTCTGGCAAGCTTTTGATAAGCAATCACCTCAACAACCGTATGAAGGAACCTGAGACAGTCCCTACCCAGGTTACACCTGGCCAACTGCAGAGATCCAAAGTGTTTATTCCTGATCCTGCAGAGTAATGAAATTGCTGCTATTTGGGACAGAAAAATGCTCCAAATACAGAGCCTCATCTCAATCAAACATGCAGCTGTTTGAGCAATTTTTTAAAACTGGAAAGTGAGGAGGTAGAATGTGGGACCACAACAAATTGCTATCAGGAAAGGCATTTTGAGATATGTGTGCTCTGTAATTAACTCTGGCATATAAAAGTATCTTCCAGATGCAAAGACAGATTCTTCCTGCTTTTAAAATTTGTGGACAGTTGCAGCAAATTACAAAGGAGAACTGTGTGATTATCTGTCTTTTAATCTTAAATAATTTTATTATTAATTAATTAATTAGTCCTTAATGAACTTTGAAGAGGGGTGAAAATATGTTCTCAAATTTTCATAGAGAAATAACATAAGAAATTGTTGTTCTTTAGAAAATGCCTTATTAATTTTCACAAACTTACTTTTTGTTTCCTTATGCATTGCTTTTAAATAACAAAAACCTTCCATAAACATATGGCATTATAAATGGACTGTTTCCAAGGAAGTATCATAGCAATTCTACTTTTTTCTCTCACCTGCTCCAGGCCAGTGGTCTCATCTTCAATTTCTTTGGGTAGCAGAATGAGCATGCTTATATGTTTGTTAAGGCATGGAAGCTCAAGGATGGAAACATTTAAATCTTTTACATATCCCAGGCAAAAAGTAGCTTCCAGATTCATCATCTGCACTGGTTTAGTTTCAGTCTGCAAAACATAGAGGAAACAATCTCTCATTCCTTTTAATTCACAAATCAGATGCTGAGGCAGAAAAGCTTGCAAGCTTGCCTGGAAGTGGTATATTGAGTTACCACCACAGCATTTATTGGCTTTCATAGGTAATGAAAGCAGCAGCAAAACACAGTGTTGGCTTTTTACAGTAGGCAGCTTTCCAAAGGAAAGTGGGACAGAATTCTACTTAATACAATAGCAACATATTGGGGATGTGTCTTAAAAGAGCAATTTACCTACTATTGGTGGCCCTTCATGCCTTTTTCCCTGATTGCTACAAACTATACTATGTACATAATGCCAGTAAGTGTCAGGCACTGAGCACATCTCAACAGTGAAGGTCAAGCTGTTTGCATGAATAATTGATTTTTTGGTTCAGGAGCTGAAATAGAATAAGAAGAAATTTCAGGCTTACCTAAATCCCTATGTCTTTGCTTTTTGTGAATGAAACAAAACAAGACAAAAAAACCCAAAATTCTTTATTTCATAAAGAAGGTTTAAAAAATGTTCTGTTCACATGGAAACGTTCAAAATTCAAATTCAGAAGAAAACATTACTTTGGAAAAAAAAATTGAGATGTTTCACTTAAAAATTTTAGTGTTGAATGTATAATTTTTTTAAAATTTTTTGGCTGAAACTATTGGTTGAATAGGTAATTTATTAATATTTTTAGTGAACCTGAAACTTCAACTTTTGTTTTGCACCTATATATATATGTATATGTGTATATATTTGGATTATAATCACTCTATCTCACAAATGTTGCGCAGCTTTGTATCCCAGTTTAAAGCTGACTGTCTGATTACAATATTCATCACTGGTCACAGATTCCTGAATGCACCAGCCATAGGTGCTGCACCCATTTGGACCTCATAGCTAAGCAGGACTAATATGCAGAGGGCTGCAGACCTGAGCCTGGTTGGAAAGAGGAAGATTTATGGGGCAACACCTCTGTTGAGGAAAACACAGGGCCAGGCACCTAAGGGATGTACTCAAAGAGGTGAAACAACTGTAGACATTTCACTAGCTCTGTGACCACGAGAAATGCAGTGTTTCATGCTTCACCTCTGCTAGTTTTTAGGTGCAGACTCTGGTTCCTCCAACCTTTCAATCTCTTGGAATAAGCTACTCATGAGAATGTGTATCTCCTTGCAGACAATGGCTGCTTCTGATCACTTGTACTCAGATCTCATACTAACTAGTATGTACTCACTCACATACTAACAGGACAGTCAGGGACCCTGGCAACACCATATAGGTTTAGATAGAGTCTAAGAATGCTGTGGTAAAAAATATTTCTCATTTTGTCTTGTTGTGATTTCCTTAGATCAAAGTTTGCATCTTCATGAGAGGAAACAGTACTCCATTTTATTTTATTTTTTTTCATAACATACCTTGTTGACTTTAAAAGGACATTCTTTGATCTCTGCCTCTGGGAACTTCTTCATCCAGTTTGTGACAAAATAAGCTGCATTAACTAGAAGGATCTGAGTTTCACCACTTACACTATCCTCATTCAAAATATTCTCCATTTTGCCTGTGAATAAGTTCAAGGTGGTTGTTAATACAACAATACATTAACAGTATATCAATTGCTTCAAGTGAATATGGTAGCATTTCACTGAACTAAAAACATTTTTGTCCTGCACCTCATAGATAAAAGATTTTATTTCTAATGGAAAATTTCAAAAAGAAGCACTTACTTAAAATTGCAGCTTAATTTTTGATATGGGATTTGGAATCAAGGTAGATCCTCCAAATTACATGTTTTGTTGGCTTATTTTGCATGGAATCAAAAATATGTCTCCTGCTTTTTTTCAATACCTTAAAAAAGGTGCTCATTTTTCAGTGAAATTCAACAGGTGTAAGTGAAAAAACATTTATCATTTGGACAGTAAGACTTGAAGGGAAGTTACACACTAGCAGCTACTCATTTCTAGACTGATATATGAGAATAAAATTACCAGAATAACAAAAAATGCTGCTCTGATTACAGTTAATAACCAAATACTGCTACAGACTTCAAAAAGAAGATGTAAATAACGTGTCCTCTCTCTGTTTCAGACCTGTTCAAGCACTGCCATAAGTGACCCTGAATTCAGAGCACTGGGGAGGCAAGTCCTGTCTTCGAATTGCACAGGCTGGGCAAGATGCTTCCACATGGACACCTGTTTCAGCCTGGAAGGACTAGACTCATAAACCGTGTTTCCTTATTTGTACCACACGAGGGCAACAGGTGGCAACCAACCCCAGAGCCATCTCTGCCCAGGCTTCCGTAGGAAGGCAAATAAGAGATGCACATCTGCTTGTGTTACCCTCACTGGCAAAAGGAGGTGGGATATTCATTAACAGCCTGAAATTCAGAGTCCAGCAAGTACTTCCCATTAAAATAAAGCTTTTAAAGGAGTTAGGGTCTGGGCTCAATGTATTGGTGTCAGAAGTTTGTGACGCTCCACAACCAGGACGTGTCATTCTCCCAAATCATCTTGCTGCAGTCAAATGTGAGCAGCTTTCCCCAAGGCTAATGCACGGTCAGTCTCACATTTCCACCTTCAGAAGTGCTGCAGTAGTGAAGTCAGTGATTTCAAAACAGGCTGACATTGCTAATCCTCATGAGTTCAAATAGTAGGTCTAGTCCCACTGCTTTCACTATGTATTTACTTCTAAAATCATTAGTAAAGAAGTATCACAAGGACAAAGATCTTTCTCCAAAGAGGCAAACAGCATCCCCAAGGTTAAGCTGCACTCACCATCAGTTAGCTCTGAAAGAGATTTGTTGATTTTTTGTCGGGTTTCCTCGGTTTTTTCTTTGAACTCCACTAATTCCAGTTCAGATGGAAAAGGCCTCTTTGTGGAGTTGACAAAGTCCTGAAAGATACAGGGTACGAAAGTCATGCTTGGTTAAATGTCATCCACTCAATGGTTCTTTAAGAGCCTTCCACATCAGCCTCCCAAGCTTCACCATGGGGTAGTTGAGGAGTTCATTATGATAGAAAGCTATTAAATAACCATGTGACAACCAGAATGCACAGCTGCATCCAGCACATTGTTCCCAAGGTTGTGTTCAGTCCAATGGCATTACATCAGCAGCTTTAAAGTCACTTTGATACTGCAAGAGTGACCATGTCACCAGAGTTCAAAAGAATAAAACAACCCTCAGTCCAGGCCTGGGTAAGACTGAGATAAAGGCCACAGGCTGCTCCCATCATATCTCTCCTCATCAGGTGAGATATTTATTGCTCTGGATGAGTATTGGCCTTTGCTGTGTCAGAGGCTGAACAGCAGACAATCTGATTATAGCATCACTGAAGCGTGCTAAGTTTTCTGAAACATGACTTTTAGTCTGATGTTATCTTTCTTGGGACCCTATTCAATGACAACTTTCGGGAAAAAAACCCAACACACAGAGAATTGTTCTGAGTTTTTTGCAAGGTTCATAAATTATAAAGCCAAACACCACATTCTTCACTTGTTTTGCTTCAATAGCCAGGCTTCTGCCTCACAGACAGATTAAAAAACAACAGTTTATGCAGTAATTACTTGGGTGTGTGAACTGGACACACACTTGCACCACCAACTTTTTTTATACTCCCCTTCACTCATACTTGCCATGCAAAGACTTTGATGTGGCATAGAGGTTATGTTGCATTCAAAACCAATGTAGCTACTGACCTAAAGCATATTAATGAAAGAATTAGAAGTGGTGTAATAGTTGCACAGTTTGGGTTCAAGCAGCAGACTCATACATCCTCCTACAAACTTCTATGGCAGCTGTTCATCATTTGAGTCTAGTCAAGGAACAGCCAAAATTAAAGGAATTTATTTTAAATAACGTTGCAGTCTGACACAATAATCTGTCAACGTAATGGTTAAGCAATTCATAGCACCAGAGTTTTCCTGCAGTACTTACTGTGGTAGGATTAAGAGACTTGTCTACAAACAGCCGTTTGACCATTTTCAGTGCAAAGAAAGAGCTGAGTTTGGAAACATCTGAAGTTATTGTCTGAAATCCGAAAGAAACGTCTTTGACATCTTTTAAATGGAGTACCTGTTAAATGAACATAGTAAAATACTTTGTTATCATTATCTAAACATTCCAAACAGCTTAGCAAAAAATAATGCTAATTTGTGACCAGAGCTGTGGCTTTTTGTATTTAAGCTGATGACAGAGCCTCTCACTTTTGTTACTCAAAATCATTTATTTATTTATTTGACATCCTCACATAAATCTAAAAACCTGATCCTACCAGAACTTTAACCAAATGCATTTCTTTCCTGTGAGCAGTCCAAAGAAATCAGTAGAGCTGTTCAGGCTTGGTGATGTGACTTAGTCAACTAAAACTCTGTGGTATGGAGTCATAATGTTTTCACCAAACTTACATTTCCATCCAAAAATATGGAGCTCCTAAGATATGAAGATTGCAGATAATCTCTTTTCTAGAAGTGGGCTACACCTTTAAAAATGCTTGACAGATCATCAAGTTTTCTGACTGCTGTGACTAATACATGACATCACATGACATTTCAGCAAAAACTGATCAGATAACTGTGTCTGTTTTGGTAGACACAGTATAACTGTGAGTAGGGCTGCTGACCCACACATGGCCACCTCCCAATTCCTGGGAATGACAAGTCCAGTTCTAGGGAGTACAGGGTTGACCTAAAACTTGCTGCTTTTAGGCACCAGAGTTGAGAGGTTACTGGTGCCTTTGCTTGAAAATAGCCCTATAAATACAAACTGAACTTTTAATGCCTATTTATTACAGGGTCTTTGATGGTGGCTGTTTCATTACAGGCAGCCTGCCCAATCTTCCTCATCTGACTCAAGTTTCTGCGTGAGGCATAGCAGGCATTGGTGACCTTCTTTCCCTTTGTACATCACTCCTGCTCTTTCTCTCAGAACACATCACCTCTTCACACACACAACAAACTGCTGCTCTTTCTAGCCACCCTTCCACATCCTCCCCTCTCCTTGCTCAGTGGGAGCAGAAGGAAATAAACTCCCAAGGACACAGCACCAGCACAGCTCTCATGGACAAACTCTATGGTCATTTCCCCAGAAAAAACTTTCTCAACTTATTTCTTTTTCCTTTGACAGTTTTATTTCTGTGCATGTTAAGCACAGAAAGCTTCTGTGCCTGGGAACTATGTTGGAGGAGACAGCTACTGCAATTCTCTACCTGAGAGAACTTTTGGCTCAAGTTTTTTAATGTTCCAGAGTACAGCTGCCAATCTGGCTCCTTTTGTATTTAGTGTTTAAAACCCAAGCACTAACTCAGGGATAGGCAGAAGCTAGAATAAACATGGAAAATAGGATATATTACATTTAAAAACATACCAAGCTCTCCTTAGTATCTGAAGTCAGCACTTTTTAAATACCAGTAGAGAAATATGAAATATAAATGTGCTTGTGTAATAAAGCTCCACTTGTGAATGTGTAGGCTAACTTATTATTATGCAATGGTTCAAAGCAAATTGCAGAGACAAGTGAAAACAAAATAAGGGCAGGTTAATATGTTGAACTCTCTCATCAGAAAGACAACGCTTGAATTTTGGAATCGTGAGAGAGCTTCAGGGTGCCATTTAAATTAAAAATAAAAATTAAAAATAAAAATTGAAAAAAAAAACCCTCTATAGTTAATTTTAAAATTTAAAAGAAAAATGCTGTTTAAAAAAATTTGCAATGCCTACAAGATTCATCCCTGAAAGTGTTCAAAGCCAAGTTGGATAGGGTCCTGAGCAACCTGGTCTAGTGGAAGATCTCCCTGCCCATGGCAGGGGGATTTAAGGTCCCTTCCAACCCAAACCTTTCTAGGGTTCTATGATCTTCATGGACATATTGCAGTGTAGCTCTGTGAACAGCACAAGGTTCACTGTAATCTGTGGCATAAGTAGGGGCACAGAAGGCTGTGCTCGGGGGTGCTTTCGGTGAATGAGAAAGTACAGGGAGGAATTCCCAAAGGAGGGAAAATGCATTCAAATATGTAGAAACTTTCAGAGCCAGGTGATTATCAGCATACAAATGCATACTGAATTTGCATCTAATCCACCTTTAGGTAACTGCAGAAACCATGGGGACCCTCACTGGGATAAAAAGGAACTAGATCCATCTCTGCTTACACAGAGGCAGAAGAAGAGGCAGCTCACCAGAGTGAGCTTGATAAACTGATTTAATCATGGCTGCCATGCTGCATCATGGTGCTGGAAACCCCTTGAACACCACAAGCTGCTCGTAAGGAGAAACACAGCTGAAATTGTGCCCCTTCTACTGCATCTGCCTCCTCTTAGCAGCTTTGCAGGAGAAAAGGGAAATGCCAGTGGCAGGGCTGCTATGCATACTGGCTGCTGACAGACAATGGCAAAATTCTTTCCAATTCTATAAAGCCTAGGTGTTTTTGAATAAAAAAAAAACCAGTTATCCAGAAAACACAGTGATCTTGACCATGGCTTGCAGCCAGAAACAACACTGCACTAAAAAGAGACAAGGCTTTAATGCAATTGTTAAGGACTCTGCCATGTTCCCTTCCGCCTTCTACACACTTGAAAAGTTTTTTCTTTATGACAGGTTTTGTCTCTTGTTGTGTGGGGCCATGGAGTGTGGAACCCTTCAGGAAATTCAGATGGGTGGCTTGAAGTCTGATTTAAAGGAAACAGACATCCAGTAGAATATTAACAATAATAAATAAGAAAGACACCTACAACAGCCATATAATTTTGCAGCCACAAAACAGGTTGTTGACAGTTTACCTGTTTCATTTGGTCTGCAGTATCACCTTTCGTAGCTTTATATGCCAGAGCCAGAGAAGTTGAGGTACACAGTGGGGAAAAAATAATATTGGCTGTTTTGTCCTTCTCACATAGTTTTTTGAACATATCAACCGCAAAGGCAGTGTTCGCTAGTTGCAGAGCGTCCATTGTCATCCTGAAACAGAAAAGGGAAAAGAGAGATGACTCGGGCTGTAATTCTAGCTCCTGCGCTAGGGGCTATGCCAAAGAACTGAAAGAGGCTGGGCACCAGTATCTGAACTGGATAGCTTGAACTGAGGAGAGGAGAGGTTTAGTAATAGCCATCATCTTCAAGTGACAGCTAGCAATGCCACATGTTATGTGGAGCCAGTATTACCAGAAGAACTTGGGGAAATCTGTGTAGGTTAGGGTGACCCAAGCATACTGAGTCAAATTGGATCACATATGAATTTAATCTGTTTTTAATTGATACTCTTAAATTAAATATGACAACTCAGAAGGTACTTTGCCTATGCTCTGGGCCCTCCTGGCTCTTAGGCGGGCCTTTAATGGTCTCATAGCTTCTCTATCTCTTTCTTCATGGCTAACTGTTCATTAAGCTTTAGCTTACACATCCTTCTTCTAAGGGTTGATTCCCCATTCTCTCTGGCCTTGCTAGGAGTCTCCAAAAAGCTGTCTGGTCCAATAGGTTGAGATTGTTCTAGAAACTTGAAGGAGGTCTTCAAAAACAAATACTGCTGTGTGCCCACCTATCACTTACACTGTTTTAACCGAAAATATTTTCCTAGCCATTCTTAATAACTGCAGTTGCCACAGTGCTGTTAGATGATCTGTGCAGTCAGGAATGACCCAGGGGGCCCAAGGGACAGTTGCTGCAGTCCATGCTCTAGGAAAGCCAGAGACTATTCCCATCTTCCAGGCTGCTTTCATATAGCCAAAGTTGCACTTTGGTATAAGCACATTTGTGTAGATTCAAGCCAACAAGGGTGAATCACAGAATTTCAGTCAATAGCACAAGCCTGGCTTTAGACCAGCAAGCACACAAGAGATGACCCCTTTGGCAAAGTGAATTTGGCACTACTCTGCCCTAAATATCAGGTATTCCTAAAAAAAAAAAAAACAAAAAACAACCAAAAAAAAGACAACTGTTAAAACTGGTGTTAAACAGCTCCATCAATGCTATTGACAGAGACAGAAAGGAAATGGAAACAACAAGTATTGGGAAAGTCTTCCAAAGGCATAAGATTTCACACAGAATCTAAAAGGTGTCTCCAGTATTTACTCTCTCCAGCAAAACCAGCAAAATAGAGGAATAAAAATGGTATAGAAAGGTGATTTTAAAAAGGTGCATTCTTATCCAAAAACATACCTATCTACATTTGCATTTCATACTCAGACACTGATCTAGGGGTCCTATTCTATCCTATTAAGCAAAAGAATATTGGTTATTTCTTAGATTGGTAGGAGGTTTGCTAATCATTGGACCTTAAGGACAGGGATTTCTCTCTAATAATTGACTACTTAATAGTGCAGCCTCAAACATTTATTTACCTAGTTCATAACAGTTGCATCCTAGCCAGCAAAGACCCCACCACACGACAGCAGAACGGTATGAGAATACAAAAAGGGGAAGAGGAGTCAAGGAACTGTCTCCAGCAAGGTGTCTTTCTTGACCATTCACTCTCATCTCAGTTTGGAAAGGCATTTTGAATTAGAGCAATCTCCTCTTTGAGTGCTTGTGTCATACTGCCCAAATGCAGCTGAACATCTGACACCATTGTCAGAGATACTGCTGAGCAGCTGTGGTGCTTGACAGTAGTGAATGATTTCCAAATAATCTGTGGTAGTTATACATTTTCATAGGACTAATAGAATGGGTGCATAATTTGCCTGCAACATAGTAGAGAAAACACTTTGACTTACTCGTAAGACCTGTTTGACTACAGAAGGTCTTTTATAAAATAAATGTCCTTATTTTTATTTTAATTAACTTATACATTTTCTTGGATCTATTTGGTAAGACAATTGTTTTACTTGACAGCTAGTTTGTTTTGGGCTGAAAGATGCAGTATAAAAGGTTAGTGAAATGCACTGCACAATCTAATCAAATTAAAAAAAAAAAGATACTGGTATAAAACCAAGGCTTTTTAAGTTAGTGTTTGAAAAGCACACCTAACCACCCTGCACTCTTGCAAAATGTTCTGACTGTTGGTATTAGCAACAAACTTTTCTAACAAATCCCCTCCCACTGGGGAAAAAAAAAAAAATTTTGTCTGGAAGAGAGCAAACATTAAACACGTTTCACTGAAGAAATTTATCCCCACATAAAAATACAGAGGAGTATGCTTTGCAACATCCAGAGGTTTTGTCAGAACCCTGAATTCAGAATGGGTCTGGCTGGATTTTTCCATTTTCCAGTAGTCTGGCAGTGCCCAGCAGCTGCTTGGTAAAGAGAGATTGTCCATGTCAGATTCCATTTTACAGCATCAGCAGGCATTGAGCTGATGTCAGAATAAGGTTCGGGAAACGTCTCAGAGATCTTACGGGTGTAAAGGGAGAACTAAGCGCCAGCCTAGCACTGCAACCATCTACCTTTTTTACGTAGACACAATTTCTCAGGCATGAAAGCAACTTATTACCAAAAAAGTCAAGCTTGCCAGCAACCATGAGCTCAGCACACACCTTACAGGAGGAGAGCTTTAGGCAGGATAGTGGCAAAAGACAGTTAAAACAATTTTGAAGGACTGAGACTGCTGATGAAGGAGTAACTTGGAACCATATGGGCAAAGAAGCAAATGTAAAATCATTCTTTCAAATACCTTCCCGCAATTCCTCATTACAGACGTGCTCCTTCATGCCTGTGCATATCTTAAATAAACTAGCATAGGCTACCTACCTTATCTTCACCATTAGCTCAATCATTCTCACATGAATACACAGTACATTCCTATACTTTGTCTCCTTCTCAATCTCGCTCTCTGACCCACCCCAGCCCCACCGCCACCCCCCAAACTAAAATGTGAATATCTGGGGCAAGTACCAACTTCCCAGGTATTTCTTACTGAGGAGCTGATGGAAAATTACCCAAGGAACCAAGAATGTGTCATTCAGTAAATATCTACCACTCTCAAGAAGACAAACAATACAAAGAATCTCACATGAGGCATGCAGTGCACCTCAAAAAACTTACTTGTCAATGGGGTAGAGTATCATTATTTAGTTCTGACTAGCATGTTATTATTCTACTTAGGTCTCTGGATCTTCCTTACAGGCCAAAAATCAATATGCAATCATAACCACTTAAAAATACCCCTTGTTCGTTTCTGCCTTAATACTGACTTAATATGTGCTAGCTGCACACTCTTCTTCCTTACGCCAGTTAAAAGCTGTACCATGGCTTAAAAACTCTTCTGACTTCATTAGTAACTCTGATACTATTCAAGTTGGATCTTTTTTTAGAAAGTTTCAATGTTTCTTTTCATTGAGTAAAAACAGGAGGTATTTCATGGTGAACTTTTTATTTACCTTTGTTCACCCAGTAACTGCTGATACGCTCAAAGCTTCTTTAGTGCAGAATGCAACTATTTCTGGTAGTGGCAAAGCTCTCCATTCTTGTTTGTTCCTTTTAGTGCTACTATTGAAATAAGGACCATTCAGGGCATGTTGGGAAAAAAGCTCAGTTTCACCCTTAACCTTGAATAAGGGGCTTTTTCAACTGGTCAGTCAGTTTTTATTTTCCATTTATTAATGATGTATGATATTTAAGAGCTCATTAAATTCATATTATTGAAAACAATTTACAGTATTAAATATTACAAAATCTTAAATCTTGTTAAAGCCTTGAGCATCCCAAGCCTTGTGAGTCCAGTAAAGCCAGTTCCGGACAAGTAAGAAGGGTTGAGGCTCCCAATAAAAGGAAAGCCCATTAGCTGCCCATTAGCCGACTCAGAAATCAGACGTAGTTCCTGAGCCAGTAATCACAGGGAACCCTCAAACGGGGAGGAGTCAAAAAATTGAAAATGAAATTTTAAAAAGGCCTACTGCATGAATTCTTGCTGAGTCCCTCCTTTCCCAGGAAAGTGATATGTCAGCATTTCCAGTGAGGCCTGCGGCACTGGGGCATCTTCTAAGCACACAGAGCTTGTGATCCACCCAGCTTTGCTTAAGACTGTGACTGTCACAGTGTTAATGAAACACTTTCAGATACATAAGGAAGCTGAAGGCTACTGAACTAATTCAGAAAAACTTGATTTAAACTTGTTTATTGGTATAAGACACCATTTTTGCTTAGTCACTCTTGGATGCAGCAACAACAACAACCCTCGTCCCCCCAAAAAAACACAACAGAGAGGCTTTGTTTACTATCTGCTAGGAGAAAAGATAAATATAGCTTATCATTTAAAAATATAATTACAAGAATAGCAACGTCTGTGTGGAAATGTCTGACAAGTCAAGCTAGCTATATGATAGGAATAATCTGATAAAGCTGAACAAGTATTTATTTTATTCCTGTCTCAGTTAAGAAGCCCTTTCCTAAGAAGACACCTGTGGCAGACAAAGCATAGACAGTGCTGGCCATCCAGTTCTGGGGTTATATTGGGTTTATATCTCAGGAGCGGTGAGCACCAGCACTGTAGTCTCTCCAGTCCAAACAAACTTCCATCAAGAGGATAAATTATATGAAACAACCCACACACGTTTCACAAGTGAGGCATTAATATTGAAACTAGATCAAGTGTTTAACATGACCCCACTTCAGCTCTTACTCAGCAAATAGAAAATATAAAGGAGATAAAATATTTCTGCAAGCCTTTTCTTCTTCTGCAGAAATGACAACTCTCCACCTGGCAAACTACCTGGATAAAAAACAAGGACACAGTTTCCTCTGAACAGACATTGAGGAATGCAAGATATCAGACTGATGTGGGACCAGAGCATCTCATATGGTTGAGGGAAAAGCACTATCAGCAATATAGCAGGGAAAGTCAGTCCAGGAAGGAAAGAGAAACAAGTCACTGCAATATGCTTTGTTGTACTTTAATAGCCAGTGAACTGTTCAAACTAGATGGTCACACTGAAAATAGATTTTTAATTACTAGGCCTAAGTTCCTGTCCTTCACTTTAAACAAATGCGGATTAGTCACTTGGTTAATAACTCAAAGTAAACAGAGCAGAGCATACACACCTCTGCAGAAAATGAGAGGAATATTCCTATGTAACAGATTAACAAAACAGCCTAAATCCAGCTTTGGCACAAGGAGCATTTCCATGGCATCATACTCAACCTGGTTTTTCTGATATGGGGAAAGCCATTTTCAATAAACCACCTTATTTTAATAATTCCTAATGCCCTTGTTGTCTCTCCAGCCAGATCCTATTCACCACTTCCAATGAATCTTTTCAGAAGGGAAGAAATATAGCATAAAAAATACAGCAATTTTGGAATGAAACTAAAACACTATAGTTTGGGAAGGTAAAAAAAGCTCCTTTAATTCCACATAATATCTACCTTTCTGCATAAAATTTCCTTATCCTGCTCCCTCTACGCAGCTGTTTCACAGCCGAGATTTGTTAACTATTAGTTAGGCATAAGTTGAAGTATCAGAGGAAGAAAAAAGCTGTACTTACTTTGCAAGGCTATAATCCTGGCAAACGAATCAATGAAACGAGCACAGCACGAAGAACTAGCCGCCCGTGCTGAAACCTTGCTGAGCGGAAGACTTTGTTACTTGCCTACTCATTGACACCACTCCCACTTTCCCAACCTCAATTTGTGCACACACACACTCCCTCTCACTCTCGCTTTTTTTTTTCCCCTCCCTTAATCATTCTTCATGGCAACTCCTACATTGGAGGAGCAAAATGATTCACACCAGAGTTGTCTTTGCCTGCCCAGCCAGTGAAGACAACAACAAGCTCTGGCAGGAAAGAGCAGCCTCATGCGTTGCCTTTAGCAAGCATAGTACAGGCACCAGGCAAGAATGAACGAAGACTACAAAGGAGAGAACACAGGCGTCGATGAGCAATTAAGAGACCTCCTGAGCAAAACCAGTACTCCAAATAGCATTGGGATTGCTGCTATTTGCAGAAAAAAAGTCATTGTGAAAAAGAAATCCAGGAAGACAACCAAAACATGTAGGAGTGTGTGGTTGGGCACTTTGCACCTGTATATGCATTAAGACAGTATCTTAACTCTGTCTAAGAGGCATATGTGTGTGCTTGGCTGCCTTAAAAGCCCAAGGCCAGATTGGAGTTAACGCTCCAGGAAAAACCTCTGCCCTTCTTACTGCTGTAAAACAAGAGCTCCCTCCCATTAGCAGACAAGTTGTCTGCAGAGAAGCAGCCTTCCCTGCTGCTAGCTGTCCCCAGAGGTGGAAGGGGAACAGAAAGTCCCCTGTGGACAACACCAACAGGTACTCCCTGGGAAGCCATGGCTACACTTGAGTCCCCATGAGGAAACAATGCACCACATCAGAGGCACAGTTCAGGTTCACACCTCAGTAACCCTACGTGGCCCTGCATACCTTTAGACTACAAAAGTTATAGGCAGGATAATTGAATTTGCATTCAGGTTTGCAGTGCTGGTGTGTCCAGCTGGCCAAACGAAAGGGGTAGGACTCTGAAGGATGTGTTTCCGCTGACACTATACTTCTTTGGTGATAGTGGGAATTGGGGAGATGTTATCTCCATCTGGAATTACATATTTCTGTGTTGCTTTGAGCATAAATCAGGCCACACCACAGCATCCTGATCAGGTCTTACGCATGTTTCCTTCCAAAAGGCTACTATGCTTTTGTTACCCAAAGGAAATTATATTTTTCTTTCTTCTGAGATGCAGATGGAGTTCACTTTCCATCATTGCCAGACTGCAAATTTAAAATTTGTATGCTTTGCCATAAGTGAATTCAAACAAAGACAGGGTGTGGATATGTTTAAGCAATTAAAATAAGATACAGGCCAGCTGGCTAAGCTGTGCCATCTGGGCTGTCATTGTTATGTATCTAATTAAGTCTTCTGTAAGAGAAATGTTTATGAAAATACACAATAATGTTGGCTGCCAGACTCTTCTCAAATGTCTGCAGGTAATCTAAAGCCAAACATTGCCATCTCTGCAGAAGCAAATCTTCCTTCAGACCCAGGTCTAACAAGTATGGTCACTGTGAAGTAGCTCAGGAGCTTCTGGATAAGCTGCAGGGAGGTGGACAACAGCCAGACTGCCCTAACAGAGACAGCGCAATTCACCAGATCCATTTCCTTGCTAATGGTAAGTGGAAAATACAGATATAACTATATGCCTCAAAAGGCTGGACAGTGGAAAAAGGAAAGGACTCTGCCAAGCTGGAGGTGTGTAAGCATCACTTATGCTTCACTAATGCTCTGTGATAGCTGAGGTGTGGCACTGTGTAGCGGCACAGAGTCCTTCAATCTGACCTGGTTAATACTGAGAAATTATTTATTTCTGATCATGGTGCCATGAAACTAATAATTACTGCTGCAATTTAAATGCTTCAAGTGAAGGAGTACACGCTGGCACTGGTAACTGAGTGGCTCAGAGGGCAGGTTGCTTCCCCTAAGAATGGATAGTTTGGGCTCATTTGCTCCTGGAGGTACTGTTAAAATAACTGTGACTTCCTACTGGTTATTTATGCAGATGTATGGGAATTGCTGGCATATAAATGGGTCTTACAAGGAAGATGAGGAAAAGTAAAAGATGTTAACTTGAAAAGTAGAAGATGCTTAATCTTAGGTAGTTGAGGCTTGCACAGGACAAGAAGTAAAGCAGTTCTCCCCCTTTCCAGGAACATTCTTTCTCAGTCTGACTTGCATCAACTTCCTCATCTCCTGCATTTACCTTTCACTAAATTAGTCTTGTTCAGTTTAATCTTAAAGTATTTTCAACACACACCTATTATGACCTGTATTTCTATAATCACATTAAAAAAAAAAAAGAAAAGAACACATAATAGGATTTTTCCTTATC